TGATCTTCTACATATCTAAATCAGTCATAAGGTCATTAAAAAAACATACATCGTATCATTTTCTGTCTCAAATAAATCTTCAGAGTATATAATATTATTATAACGTTTCCTTTGAGGTCTAAATCCAACAAKCTATAGCGTATTTTTAGAAATCAAAACGCAGTTCATTCTTCGCACAATTTTAACATAACATTCCCGGAGGATGAATCGAGGCTACTTTCACTAGCGAGCGCAGCACTCGTTACTCAATTTCTTATTGATATAGGACTAGGTAATTCAGTAATACATAGTTATCGKGAATTGGCTAACGTTTTTGCTCTTAGAAATGTTGGATAACAAAACCCGTCGAAGTCTAATGAAGTTGCTCTTCTGTTTCTTTTGCTGAACGGCATGTTTTTTGTTTTCATGTCGACGGAGAAATCCATAGTTATAGAAGGAAAAGCCTACATATAACGGTACGTAAAAGCGTGCATATAAAAGTAACGCCTTTATTTCTTTCCCACTAAAATTGCCATTAAAAAGAGGTTGTCTTTGTTTTATATGCGATTTCCTGACTGTACTTGATCATGATTGCCGCACCTAAGTCTTTCTATCGAAGGAATGTGCATCGAAGGGCTTCAACAACGTCTTAAAATTCTTCCTTTTTGCATGGAATTTTATTATATTAAATCTAYAATTGCTTCTTCTTCCCTTTAGAAGTTTAAAATTTGCATTTGAGATCARGATTTTGTAGTTTGAATCCATTGAAACAATATACTTTTACAGACTAATAAATCAAGACCGTAATCCTCTCCAATCATCACCGCAACAAGACTCAAGCTTTTCATAATTCCTTRGCTTTAAGTATTTTCCTTCATGTAGAATMTTTTTCGCCTTATTTTGCTTTTTATTACAATCAAATRCTTTCAAAWGTCTTTGATACAAGTATTTGGCATCAGTTATGCTTCAMCCAKCTTCAGACAACGCGAGACTTGAATGAATTCATTGTAGTTTTGTTGGTGGTTTACAGSATCGATAATGGAAGTTGAGAGCACAACTAATCCAACCAGTCACTAAAAGATTACCAAGTATTAACAAACTTGTTCAAAAGTTGAAAGAACGTTTACTGAGATATCTAAGCCGTATTTTACCTCATTATGGCTGTCAAATATAACGGTACATGGGATGGTGAAAGCCAAGTTTGTGCTAAGTTGACTCCCGAAGTATCGGGGAATGCCATCTCCTTCAGCGCGGATTACATTTTCACAGTCGACGCAATTTTATTGCGCACTAACAAGTCTTTTATATCAAACTTTTTTCTGTGCACATTCCAAGGTTATTTTAGCTAGCTTGATTTTGAGTTGTACCACATATGATAATGTTAGAAGAA